TTATGAATGTCCTGTTATGTATCAATCCCTCTAAATTTGTCATTTTACTGGGTTAGTCCACAGAGCAAGTACAAACGCCTAATGGAAGAGGGAAGAGAAGAAGTCGCAAAGTGGTGAATTATAGTGAGCAGGCTAAGGACACTCCAGATGAACTTGAAAAGCTCATTAGTTGCTTGCTCAAACAGCAGGAAGCTGAGAAAGAAAGGTATTTGCTGTGTAAATCTTCTCCTTCAATGGCAACCGGTATAGAATTTTACATACACTAAATTTTCTGTCTTCTACAGGCCTGTGATGGAAGTCAGTCTGCCAGGGAATGCAGAAGTAAACCTTAAAATGAGGAATATTATGATGCTGCTGAGAAAATGCTGTAACCACCCATATTTGATTGAATATCCTCTAGATCCTGTAACCCAGGAGTTCAAGGTAAGACTTCAAGAGATAGTCTTCTAACTGGAGAATCTGACAAACCTTTTATATCCGCCACTAAATGTGTATGACTGGACAAAAGTATGCAGTAAATCTGCAACACACGCATTCCCCATCTTTAGTTACATAAAAATACACGATCTGCACATCGTTAATATTTGCCCTATGAAAGGGTTGGTTCTACTTTTACAGCCTTTTAACTGCCTCCGGGCCGGCCGTAGTAGAAAAACGGCCGGCCGGAGCTCTCGATCTGAGCCGGCGCGAGCGGGAAATTGCCGTTTTTTAAAAACAGGCAGCGATGCCTGTTACCATACAAGCGATCCGCCGGCGGATCGTGTGTATGGGGTGCCGATCTCTGCTTCATCAGCTTCTTTTGGGGGGTCCTAGGTGACATTAGGGGTCTTGGAGACCCCTGATGTCTCCATAAAGAGAATGAAACCATCAAACCCTTCTCGATATAAAAATCTTGATATACTTGAATGTTTTGCCATACAAGCTGTACTGATCCTGTGTTTTATGTTTAGATTGATAATGAACTGATAAATAGTTCAGGAAAATTTCTAATCTTGGATCGGATGTTGCCAGAAATGAAAAAACGAGGACACAAGGTATGAATGCTGATTATACTTTCTCACCTGTAGATTGTGTGCAATTATTTAGGTGGTCTCCCCTGTTCCCCCTACTCTTCCTCACCCTACTGCTCTCGTCTCTTGGTCATTAATTAGAACGTCTGTCTTGTGTGCCGTTAAGTTTAAAATTGACGGAAGTCATGAGGTTGTCTTGACTCAAATGGCGCTCCTCTTTCTGTATGACCCGCTTCAGGCCATGCCAGACACCCCTGGTTGACTGATCTTGGGAAGTATTGTTGGCCAAAAAACAAGCAATATAGGTTTCTGGTGGAGTGCATTGGTGACGAGCATGGTTAATGCACGTGTAATGTTGGAATGGCTACTTTTTAATCGCCATTGGAAATCTGGTTGACAACTGGAGCACAATCTGCGGACCAGGTTGGAATGTTGCACTCACAAGGGCCTAACCAAAACACTCCGTAGCAGGGTCACCAGGCATTTCATTAATGAAAAGCTTCACAAATGTATTGATTTGACTCACATTTACTTTAAGCAATCGCACTCAGTTTATAGCTGACTTATTGTCTTCAATCTAGTATTTATTCTCTTTTCTAGGTTTTGATCTTCTCACAAATGACAATGATGTTGGACATAATAATGGATTACTGCTATTACAGAAAGTTTAACTTCTGCAGGTTGGATGGATCTATGGCATATGCAGAGAGAGAGGAGAATGTAAGGTTTAGCTCTATATACTAAAATTGTGTGTACCAATTTGTTTTCCTGTGATGCTTACTTAACTTTGGCCTTTGTTTCTTACAGATGCGGAAGTTTAATACTGACCCCGAGGTTTTCATCTTTCTGGTTAGCACACGGGCTGGAGGACTGGGAATCAACTTGACAGCAGCAGATACTGTAATCCTTTATGACAGTGACTGGGTAAATGCAAAGTCTCCTATTAAATAAAATCTCCACTACTTCCTCTATTCTCCATGGTAGGGTAGAATTAATGAACCATCAATGTATATAAATACTGCCATTGGTAATCCTTTGCCTGGTACAAAATATTGGAAACCTTCTTCTTTTTTTTTTTAAATCTGAAAAACAGTGAAATGTTTGGTTTTCTTAGTAGCGTGCAATCAGAAAATGAACTAGACCTCTTCCAACACACTGAGGTTGAATGGGATCTCATTTCTTATGTGCTTTTATTGCTTCTGTCATGAACCTTGGAAACTTTCATTGCTTGGATCTTTCTAAAAAGCTAGGTGCCAACGATGTTATGATTCTCTTTCTTCAGTACTTTGTCACTGATTAGGAAGTATTCATTGAAGGACTTTGGTTTCCTACTTTTTTCTTTTCTTTGCATGTTTATCAGCTTAGGACTGCTGGCAAACATTGGACCCTCCCTTCCTGTACAGAGGGAGAAGTATAGCCCACAGAGGGTGATGCATACCCTTCTGCTTATTATCCACCCTCCTAGGGACAGGGCTGTGGTGTCACAGTGATCTGCTGCAGGGATTCCAACAACTAGTTTACCTTTTGTTTCTGAATCTTGGATGGATGTTACTTTTCATATTAAAGCAGCCTTTTCCTATAAAGGTATATTAAAGAACACTGTTACCCGACTATTAATCGTATAATCTTATGGGAAGATTGTTAAAAAGATTTTAGGCATCATGTTTACCCCTAAAAGCCACCCTTGTGTAGACCTCCAAAAAGCCCTGAGGGTCTGCTGGGCACCACCGTCTTGGATGAGATGTCGGCAATCTCAGAGCTGTCATTTTAGGTGACTCCTATAGTATTTAGTATTCCTGCTCACTCCTCCCCCCCAGCTGCTACTTAAAAGCTCTTGTAGCAAGGTGTGGACAGAGGTGAGGGCTGTCCTAGGGAATTCACTCTTCCTGAAGTCAAATTTGCTAAGGTACAGTCGCATTAGTTTAAAAAGTAAAAACTGCAAGTAGGATTTATATTTTGGTGTTTTTTTCCTGCAATTGTTTAATTTGCAGATGGTCTCTTAAAAAGATTTATAGGCTGCAAATGCATCTCTCCTCCTGAGAATGCTAACAAGGTTATTCACAAAAGGGTGAAGAGTTTGGAGACGTGAACAATCTAGGACAATATAGCTGATTTTGGAAAAAGTCTCCAGTTGAGCTAATTTTGTTCTCTTCTGCCTTCTTCAAACACTTCACCCTTTTGAAAATAGCCCTGTAGATGTCCCACAGTCAGTGATTTCAGTGTCTTTTAATGCCTTTAGAGCCACTAACCATTATGCAGGTAAGGCATTCTGACCAATTCCTTTTGAGCTTGTGCCTGTTCGGTGCCTCAAAGTTCAGTGCCTCAAAGTATTGGATCCAGAGGCGCCCCATAACTAGAAGTTCCTGTTTGTCTACGTTGAAAAACAGTTTCTTTTATTGGTAATGTTTTGAAATCTAAACTGACGGTTAAAATGGCCAATGTGCCCCATGGTTTGACGCTAGTAAATTGTGAGCATCATAATTGAATGTACAATGGTTAAAGGAACTTGCTTTATCATGGTGGTTTTCATTAGCATTGTTTGGTTTTTATAAGGTAGATGGAAATTGTAGCTGAAAAACTTGTTACATGCCTCCCAATATGTTGGCTTTCTATATTCTGAAACCTCGATTTTGTTCTAAATGTCTTTGTTCCACAGAATCCTCAAGCTGACCTTCAAGCCCAGGACAGATGCCACAGAATTGGTCAGACAAAACCAGTTGTGGTGTATAGACTTGTGACGGCAAATACCATTGATCAAAAGATTGTGGAAAGAGCAGCCGCCAAAAGGAAGCTAGAGAAGCTGGTGATCCATAAAAGTAAGGAGTTAATTACACTTGTATTCCGAGAATGTAAAAAATGAAAGGTAAAATATTTCCAAACCGATCTGAACTTAAATTTGTAGGGAAGTGCAAACCTAATAGCAATCTATTTCAGATCACACCTTTTTTAGGGCCCACTGGCAAAAAAAACAGCATGTTGTGCTGAAACTACAAATATTTCCATTAAAACTTTTGAAATTGTAGAGCCCCCTCCCCTTTTTTCTCTGAACAAAAAAGTCCATGTTGATTTATAAAAATGCATACTTAGAAATACTGTGCTTGGGTTTAAAGAGCCCTTCCTGTGATAGTTTGTGATCAAGAGCCCTTTACAATTCAAAATTGGCAAACACTGACCTGTTTTGTACAGTAAAAAAACAGCTATCTGAAGCCCTGGACTAGTAATCACAATGGCTGAATGCAAGGCATCTATATTTAACCACTTCAAGACCAGGTGTTTAGACCCCCTTCCTGGCCAGGCCATTTTTCAGTGTTAGCGCTGCGGTACTTTGACTGAAGTTTATTCCGTCATGCAACGGTGTACTGAAATGAATTTTATACAATTTTTTGGGGACAGATAGAGCTTTCTTTTGGTGGTATTAATCACCACTGGGGGTTTTATTTTTTACTAGAATTAGGAAAAATTACAGAAAATTTTGAAAAGTTATTTTTTTTTCATTGTTAGGAAACATTTATTACCCAGTTTTTTGGTAAAATATAAAAGTCGGGGTCACGTCGGGTAAATACACCAAACATGTCAAGCTTTAAAATTGCGCGCACCCGCGAAATCGCAGAAAACTACCATACCCAAAATTGGCCATAGGCGACACTTTAAAAGCTTTTACCGCTCATCAGTTTAGTGTTATCAGTGATTGATTGGCCCTAGAATTATTGCTCACTGCAACGTTCGCGGCGATATGTAACATGTGTGGCGTAATGGGCGTTTTTGCACGTATGCACCCCCCCGACGCATGTTTGCATGCATGGGTGGGGACTTAAAAAATGTTTTTGTTTTTTTATTTTATGTGTAACTTTACATTTTGGGGGGACTTAATTTTTTTTCCCTTTTTTTACGATCACATACAGGGCTAATAAAAACCCCCCTATGTGATATCAAAATATGTGACAGGTCCTCTTTATGGAGACATCAGGGGTCTCCAAGACCCGCCACCCCCCCAAAAGAAGCTGAGCAGATCTGCTGCTCAATCAGCTTCTTTGCAGCTTCTGAAGCTGGAGAGTGACACGAGAATGCGGAAGTGATGTAATATACACCACTTCCGCATTCTTGCAGAGGAGAGGGGACCTGCTGATCCCGGGCACAGCAGATCCCAGGATCAGCGCGACAACGGCGTGGGGGGGCGGATCGCTTGTATGGTAACAGGCATCGCTGCCTGTTTTAAATTTCGGCAGTTTCCCCGTTCTCGCGCGCGGGGTGTGTCTGAGCGGACGTCTAAAGACGCCCGCTCAAATCTAGAGAGCTCCGGGCCGGCCGGCCGTTTTTTTTTTACTACGGCCGGCCCGGAAGTGGTTAATTTGTATATAGAACAAAATTGTATAATTTCAGAGAAAATTTTTGCAAAAATGCTATGGACTTCTAGTAGTTGAGGAGGGGTACACGTACTTAACACATTTAAATGTGCAGTTGTCAAACTATTGGTGTGGTGCTTTTTTCCAATACTGTATCCCTCAGAGTGGGGTGCTTGTGCTGTCAGACAACTTGTAGTTAACTGCCACACTGCTTACCGAATGTCCCTTCTGCTGAAGTGACTGCTAATGGTGCTGCAGTTCACAATGTATATCAGAAAGCGCCTTCTATTCACACGTATTTGTCACATCAAAAATTGCAACGTTTCGGGAGCTGCGCATGGTCCCTTTATCATGTGCTGCCAGGTCTGCAGCTCAGAGGTGGTTTGGCTCTTAATTGGCCAAGCTGCTTCTGATCCGTACATTTCATCTAGTTTTATACGTCTTGGTTTTGAATATGAAATGCTATTTTAGCTTAGAGCTGTATTTATTTTCCCCCAGATAAATTTAAAGGTGGGCACAATGGAATAAGCCAGTCTAAGAGCTGTCTTGATCCACAAGAATTACTGGAGCTGCTTCAGTCCCGAGATCATGAAAGGTAAGAATAAGGGTTCTGTTCTGCTAAAACCAGTCCTGAAAAATATTGCTCACTTTCTTTTGAAAAATGCAAATTTTCTAACTGCTGCACTAATTTCTCTCATTCAACCCTTTTTTTGCTGACCTAGAACAGGCATACAGATCAGAAACATCTGCATCCCTGTCTCAAACAAGTGTGTGTGTGTGTGTGTGTATATAAATGCTCCTGTATTTGGGACAAAATGGATAGAGCATAAAGTTTGGTACACATGGTTTGAATTTTGGCCGATCCTGATGAACCAGCTGAAATTCATGCTTGGCATCCCTTGATCAGCTGCCATCTCTGTTTGGCAAAGAAACCAGCTCCTTCAATCGGCCACTGTCAAAATACAATGCAAACAGCGGGTGATTTGACCGTCAATGCTCGTAAGCATTGATGGAGGAATCGGCTGTGTTTTTGTATGTATTTTTATTTTCAGCCCTTGCATTAAATGAAAAAATAGAAGCACGTATACCACACCTAAGGGATTTAGTATCTTGTGTAAGTCCTAATGTGTGAAGCAGCAATCGATGGATGGGTTGTGTGAGAGCTGTTTTTCTGGGCCCTAAACACACAGCCATTGTGTAATCTTGGCTTGTAAATACTAATCTGTAGACCTGTGAGGTTCAGCAAACCTTTAACAAGCTTCAAGCGACTTCCGCTCTAAAAAGCATCGGCAGAGATTGGCTAGTGCCTGTGTTTAGGGCCCTAGTCTTGACTGTTGGCATTGGAAGTTGTTGGAAGAGCGATGGAAATGCAGTGAAAGTAGTGACTTGTATAGACTTCAAGTAACTGCCTGGAGGTTAAGCACTTGAGGTCAAGGTGCGACTTTAAAGGCACAAGGATCTAAGTATCGGAAACTTGTAGAACATGCTGTGCAGAAAACCTGTTTCACTGCAAAGTATACGCTGAACATAAGTCTATTGTCCTATGCAAGTAGAGTTACATGAAGGTGTAGTTGCTTATGAGCACCTTAAGCAGTGTCATTGGAGTGATGGTTAAATGTGGACTGCCACAATTTGAAATGCCTTTTGTAAGACGGGTAATGAGTGCTCCTCTATTTTCAGAGAAGTAAAAGGATCCAATGGTAAAGTCATTAGTGACAAAGACCTGGCCTTGTTACTGGATAGAAGCGATCTCATTGGTAAGTTGAGCTGTCATACATTATTTTACCTAGAAAATGTAAACATGTTCTGATTTTTGCATACTATTTTTTTTCTTGCCGAGAACAGGAACAAAAGGAATAAAATGTAGTTGCAATATTCCCCCATCTGCAGGCTTAGGGTTCATTCACCTGTCTGGGGTGTTGAATGCACTACAAAGCATCTCCCTTGCACATCTCCCTGCTGATGTGTTGCGCTTTTGATTGGAACAATGAGTTCTATAAATGTGCGGGGGAAGGGAAGAAAGGGCTCTGAAATCATCTACATGTTGGATGCCCGAAAATTGTGTATTATGGTTAATCTTCTTTTATTCTTTTCTAGCACAAATGAAAAAGAATAATGCACAATGCAAAGAAAATGGGGCGTTTATGGTTCTGGAGGAGATAGAAGAAATTGAAGTCTGAGATATGTAGACTAGATTTCTCTGCACTTACTATGCGGTTTGCTTTTAACGCTAGGTTAGAGGGTGATGCACCTACCTTGTCACAGTAGAGGTTAACTTAGACCAGCGAAAGTTCTTTTAAAAGTACCAATGGCTTTCTAGAGTTTTAAAATGCCATGCCTATTACTGCACTTTTACTTGACTTCAAGATTGCGTTAATGAACAGTCTTCCTGTGGAAGGATTTTATGTTTCTTATGTTTGTTATGAAACCGATTTAATAAAAGATTTAAATAAAACAGTGTGTGGTACTGGACCCCTAAATGAAAGGAGTTGTGGCTGTTAGGGATGTCCCGATACTACTTATGACCAAGTACTGTCCATGTACTTGCTGATAACCAATTACCAATACTTTTTCTTGAAGGGACGTGTGGTGTTTTTTTTTCTCTAAAACAGATTGATGATTTTAGGGCAGTTTCTCACAAAAGCTAAATACGGATGTCACCAGAACTGAATACATGTCCCCACAACAGAACATATGTCACCAGGCTGCGTGTCGATGTCGCTGAGTGACTTGGACATCTGCAGTGGCTCTTCAGGCACTCCACCTCAACGGCAATGCCAGGACCCGACCTCCCCCACATCCAGACTGGCCATACCGGCCCAGTCCTCTCCGTCCATGAGCGGCAGGAACCCCCAATTTCTAACCCTGGGGAGGTAGTTCCGCCCCTGGGGCTATGCCTGCGCCGGAAAGGAAGAGGAGGAGATAAAGAACCGGACAGGCACTGCCATGGACAGCTATCTGCAGGTCCCCAGAAGGCTGTCTAGGTCCCCACAAGCGTGGGAACTCGGACGGCTGCTGCTGTTTGAAAATGTAAAGGGCTGGTATCGGCCTTAAGAATCGGGGCATTTTCACGAGTACAGGTATTCCTGAAAATGCCTGGTATCAGGACTTCCCTAGTGGCTATTGACTCGAGTGAGGAGAGATCATGGTACAGGTAAGCTGCTTCAGGAATGCTGAGATTTGAGCTAGACCACTGGATCTAAAGCAGAATGTCTGTTTGCATTTTCTGGGACTGTTCAGTATCTGTACAGCATGAGCTCCTTATGGGATCCTCTGTTCCCATAAGATAATGTCTAAGGGCCGGTTCACACCATAAAGTCTGCGTTCTGGAGTGCTCGGCCTCTGTTAAGGGGTGGCGGGGGGGCAAGACTATGCACAGTAGTCAATGGCACCGCAGCCACGCCTGCAGTACAATCACCTGGACTGCAGGCACAGTAGTGCCTGAGTTCTGGTCCAGTGGGATCTACAAAAATGTTTGCCGATCGCACTGGTCCAGAATGTGGGCACTAATGTGCCTGCAGTCCCAGGTGTGTAGGTGAATGGATGTCACCAGCACACCCAAGAATATTGAAGTCCAAAGTGTTTATTGAAACGTCATGTCATCACAAGCGCTTTTGGGGCTGTGCAAGGTCACCTTCATCAGGCTCAGCAATGACATTGTGCTCAAAATCACAACATTCTATAGACCTGCAGATAAGTGAATACTCATGTAATGTCCCAAAATAGTAAAAAGTAAATGGCTGGGTACTAACAATACACAATAGAAACTATTTTACAGTTGTGCATGAACATTACAGTAAATTCTGGTAACAAGCTGGGAATGGAAGAGGGAGTTAATTTAAAAGACTCCCTCACATGGGTGTGCAGCGATCCCAGATAGGAGATATTGCTTTTGTTTGCGTTTTTTCTCTTGTTTTATTTAGTGTCACTGGCCCTTTAAATTATCTCAGGCAATCCACCTGGAGGTTTTACTTCCCTGAATTTCCTTCCAGAACCTTCTCCAGCCTACCCTATATAAAGGAGGACTCTGACTGGGGTCAGTGCCAGTTGGTTGAGAGCACCTCAGCGAGCTTCCCTCCCACGGCACCTTTTATGTGGTTTGTCACTTATTGAAGGGAAATAATTTACAGTAGATAGTCATTAAATTCAAGCAATGAAAACTAAGCAATTTGATGGTGGTGAATTAAAGTTTAATAGAATTATTACCAATAAAAGTTCCGTGGCCAATATTTGCCAATACATTTGTGTGTTTTTATTCCATAAAAGTGATAGTAGGGTATCTACTGCAGTCCCCTGATAGCCAAACAAAATGTAATGCAGCGTTGCCTCGAAGGGATCGGGCACCTCCTAATGTGGCCGTGGTGTACAGCTGTCGAAGTTCCCATGGCAACAGGAAGCCTTAGACAGCCAGAGTTTGAAGAGGGCAGGTTCTGCCCACCAGCGCTGATGCCACATGTGCGACAGGTCATACTGCCTTCAGTGTGGAGGAAGGTTCATCGTGTATGCGCGATCCATGCTGGAATAACCCGGTAACGGAATGCTACCAGCGTGCGAGAATGGGTTGAGAAGGAGAATGACAGTGGTATAGTGAGGGAAGATGGCCCCGGGATAGTGGACAGAGTGGGGGGGGAAAAAAAGCAAGATGCAATGAACGGGGAGGAGTGAGGGAAATAAAGGGGGGTATGGGGCCAGAGAAGAGATCTTGGAGGGGAAAGGGGGGAGGGAAGAAGACAGGTAAGAAGAGGTAATGCAAAAATCTGCCAGGACATACAAATAAAATCCTTTAACAAATTCATATAGATTGGCAATGCCTGTTATTAACCCCTTCATGACTGAGGCCTTTTTCATTTTTTTGTACCCATGTTATATTCCACATTTTAGGCCTGAAAATTACTTAAAATATATACCTTGTGGCAATAATAAATGTGCACATGGTCTAAAATGGAATTATTGAACAATGTAAAGAAAGGTGTGTGTGTGTGTGTACACACACCTACCTCGAGGTCCTCTGCAGCGGTAGGAGGGAGCACTGTGACAGCTGGCTAGGACAGAGATTTGGGTGAGTAACTTTTTTCATTTTTTTAGCACTAAACCCTTGCAGTGGAGCTACCCCCACACTGCAAGTTATTGATGTTCCTAACGTTCTTTAAAGTAGCCCCCAAAACCTAATCTGAACATGTATGCTATGACCAGAATCACCATGTGAAAATGGAGGGGGAGACTTCTACACATCGAAGGGCCGATGAGCTAGAACAGGTTACATTTTTTTTTTTTTGGTTGCCTACACCTGTGGGTGTTTTTTTGGGAAAGGGCATCTCAGCCAAATGGTTATTGCTGTTTTGACTCCATCGGGCAGATTTTAATTCTGAGTCTGACCATCCTGTGAAACCAAGATTTAAAAAAAAAAAAAAACAATATTCTAAACTTCCCCACTGTACTATAAAAATGTGGATCTTTTCATCACCCTCAGATTTCCCATCACTTCCTGTATTCTGACGGCCAGGCACTGGGACAGAAAAATGTTAGTCATGGATTTGCATCCCTACTAAGAGGGTTGAGGTCAATTTCTTCTGAGAGGGAAGTAACAGTTGATTCAGTAGCACGATCATAACGAGTAAAAACGTGCATGTGCCTACACAGTTCCTGGTGCTTTTTTTTTTTTTCTTCCTTCGCCTCTGGAAAACAAGTGCAAAAAATGCCTATGAATCCTGTCAGAATCCCACTGCGCTCCCGTTTGGCCTTCCAAACACACTGCTGCTACACTGAAATCCCAAGCTGTCTGGTCAGACCTGCCCCCAGTACTCCTCTCCTGGCCCTACAGTTTGTACATAAGAAGTTTTGCTGTCTGGCAGAGGACTTTGTTTGAGCTGACAACTCTGCAGCACTGAAATCCCAAGCAGGAAGTTGGGGAGGAATTTGTGCAGGATCAACTTTTTTTTTTTGTATACTTGCAGCATTTGGAAAAGACACGGTACCACAAACGCTTACTACACAAGCTGAGGGCTATGGGCATAGAAGAATTGGTGTGTACGTGGATAGAGAACTGGCTACAGGAACGTGTACAGAGAGTATCGATAAATGGCACCTTTTCAGACTGGTCTAGGGTCATGAGCGGTGTGCCTCAGGGTTCTGTGCTGGGCCCCATGCTATTCAACCTGTTTATTAACGATATTGGGGAGGGTGTGAATAGCCATATGTCAGTGTTTGCTGATTGATACAAAAATCAGGAGGGTGATAGACACGGACTTAGACATTGTAACGATGGCCATACACTGTACAACCATCGCAAGACCTTAGTCTTGCGATGGTTGAAGCAGATTCGATCGAGCAGTGTATGGGCACCTTTACATTACAGGAGGACCCGGATAAAATAGGGGAGTGGGCAACTATCTGGCAGATGAGGTTTAATGTCAATAAATACAAAGGAATGCACTTTGGGGTTAAAAATAGGCAAATGGGCTATACAATTATAGTTATGCCGCTAGGAAAGTCAGAAATGAAAAAGATTTGGGGGTCATTGTAGACCACAGATTGAAGAATAGCTTGCAGTGCCAGACTGCTGTAAACAAAGCAAGTAGAGTCCTGTCCTGTATTAAGAAGGGGATGTTTTGCAGGGACAAGTCTATAATTTTGCCACTTTACAGATCGCTGGTTCACCCTCATCTGGAGTACGCAGTCCAGTTTTGGTCACCAGTCCACAGAAAAGATGTCCTTGAACTGGAAAGAGTCCAGCGGAGGGCAACCAAACTAATTAAGGGGATGGAGGACCAGAGCTATGAGACATGTTCACGTTGGCAGTAAGGAGACTAAGGGGGACGATGACATACAATCACCATTGAACATTTTGTACATGAAAATCAACATTAGCTACAAACTCTTTACGCTTAACTCCATAACAAAAAGACTAGAGGCCACCATCTAAAATTGATGGAGAAAAAAAAAAATCCAGCACAAGGGGCGAAGGGGGTTCTTCTCAGTTAAAGCGATTAGGGTCTGGAACTCGCTTCCACAGGCAGTGATTTCAGCCAAGAGTGTGGAATCCTTCAAGAAGCTTTTGGATGATTTCCTCAGGGACCGTAATATACAGGAGGTACACTTAAGAACAAGATCACACAGGGACCCATATATACGCACACAATAAGTTGGACTCAATGGACTTATGTCTTTTTTCAACCTCAAATACTATGCAACATATTTGGGGGGGATTTGCAGTTGTTGCAGATGTACTGGTTTTTATTTTCTAACCATATCTTGCCTGGATTCCAACCACCATATTCTGAAAAGCAAACCTGTATAATTTCATAGTGCAGCATCTTCATCTCAGGCCCCTCAGCTTCTTAAAAAGAAACGCCACACAGTTTTGTGTAATAAAGATTCTTTGTATTGAGTATTCTGACCAAATATGAAAAACAAATTATGCATTTACTACATTTGTTAAAAAAAATCTCCACAGGTTTTCTCTCTAGAAGCATCTTCTGCAAACATTTGTGTCTGGGTAAACAGAAGCCTTCACTCAGCATTGAAAGGGTAGGAAATGTCATTTTGTGTATAGCAGTGAGTGGAAATGGGTACATTTTATTTGGGGAATACAGTCACTACGTCATACCCTTCGGGGGGAGTAGTACGTTCCCGTGCGTGCTTTTCACAGTACATCTTGTCCTCTACGAAAAAATGGCCCTTCTGTTTGAGATTCATTCCACAGTCAGTACACGCATAGCATTCAGGGTGACGAGGCTTGTCACGGATCTTCACAAAGACTCCCCTAGGAAAGGCAAGGTTACAATCAGTTGTAAAGTTCACATGTCTTTTAGTTTGTTTTCATTTATAAAGTATAAAGTATAAAGTATATAGTATGATGCTGGCTATGTTCAATGGCACTCCAATAACACAAACCTGTGTTGCTACATACAATCTACTCTAGGTTGTGGTGCACTGTCTCTAGAAAGAGGTACAGCCGTGGGATTTATCTTTTTTTTTTTGTCCCAGTGCTCTTGCAACCCTTTTAAATAAATAGGTTGCACTAATACAACAAGGGAAAGGTGTGAAGGGGGTTTAAGTTATACTGTTGCCAAAATGTCAGCATGGGACTGTTAAACTGCTGTACCCACCAATTATACAGCATGGCAGAAGGTTAAATGTTAGGGAGATTATGTTGGCATAACGATGAAAGATATAGTCCGTCACCAGCACACTGAAGTAGTATCCAAAGCATCCTTATTGACACATGTACATCATGTCACAAAGGCAGGAATGTTTTTGGGTCCCTTCATCAGGCTCAGTATGAGCCTATATGTATATTGAGCTTGATGAAAGGACCCCAAACATTGCCTTCTTTGTGACACGATCTACATGTGTCAATAAACATGATTTTGGATACGACTTCGGTGTGCAGGGGACATACTGTATCTTCTTGAATTCAAGCCGTGTCAACCGCAGCCCCTTCAGCACTCATCTCCAAGGTGCATACTGGTAAGGAGTGCAGTTGGATATCCAATGTACGTGATAGCAACATTAGCAGCAAACGTTTTACAATTAACTCCATGACAAGGACAAGAGGCCACCACCTAAAATTAGTGGAGAAACAAAATTTCAGCACAAGGAGCGAAGGGGTTTCTTCTCAGTTAGATTAGTCAGGGTCTGGAACTCGCTGCCACATGCTGTGATTTCAGCTGAGAGTGTGGAATCATTCAAGAGGCGATTGGACGATTTCCTCAGGGACCGTAATATACAGGGGTACAAGTACTCTTAAGAATGAGCTCACACAGGGACCTATACATACGCACACATCAGTAGAACCATACACACAATAGGTTGGATTTGATGGATATATTTCTTTATTCAACCTCAAATACTATGCAACTATGTGATAATGGTGGACACAAACATATATCCCCCTCCCCCCATTGCCAGACTACTGTGCTGGGCTCTGCCAAAAGATGGGGGGGCTGTTATGTTGTTGGTTTTTTTTTTTTTTATGTACTCAAAGTAGTTCTGGTTGCTGCAATTAAGACCTTTCTAGTGAATACGTATGCATGTTATCAAGCAGGCAAACACAGATCAAGATGATGCTGAACTTACTACAAAAATATAAGGGGCACATTTACTGAGGGCTGTGAGAAAAAGAATTCATAGAAAAATAAAACAATCTATACCTTTGCCTTACACCAAAACATCTACTTACACAATGCCTGATCCACAATGATCACAGATTGGCAATTTCTGCCCACTGCCAACAGAAGCTGCCACTTTGGTGGTGGGGGGCCTCACACTGCGGAACCCAGAAGGCTTCTCACCTGCAAGCAGAAGTCATGCATTTGTTTAGTTCATACAGGTTACTTTATCGGTAGAACATGAATAGCTCTGTGACTGTACGGTGGGGACATGCACCCATCCTGCTAGCAGTGCCAGAGTGTCTTTCACTACTTCCTACAAACACAATATACAAAAGGAAGTTCATCACTTAAATGAATTACTGCCATACAGCACAGGACAGATCTGGCCAGCAAGAGAGAACATGCAAATGTAGGTGAGAACACATGGTGATAAGAAGCTGTCACACAGGAGTGATTTGCAGCAACTGAGCTGCCAGTCATGCACTACCTGAGTCTAAAATATGCACGTTGTCAGAGTACGTAGGGTATGGGTTGGGATCAAGGCCTGAACCTGGGAATAAATGTTCTGTGCCCTGAAAATCTGGGAACATGAACAGGATTCGGAATCATTTCTCTCATAATAAAATTCCAGATTCAGACATATTGGGGAATCAAAACTGGAGCAGACAGAATCTGGAGCAGTTGCCCATGGCAACCAATCAGCTTCTCTCTTCAGTTTGCTCATGTAAGATGTGATAAGGAGACAGAGAGGGCGATTGGTTGCAGTACAAACCTGCTACAGATTTTGTCTGCTCCAGTTTTGATAAATCTCCCCATTGTATATATGATGCATTTTGTATATTTTAACTCACCCAAACAAATGTTTTTACAAACTTGAGGCAACATTTTTTTTTTTTATTAACCCTTGCAGTGGGGGCTACTGCAAGAGGTAACTGCTCATGTTGGTCTAGGGAGGAAAACAAAAAAAAGCTATACTCCTCCAATCCCCGGAGCCAACGCTTAGACCAGTCCTTCCAGCCTCGCTCACCCTCCCCTGCAGTGGTCCCCGAGTCATCCCATCATAGGACATGAGGACGCTGAGGGACATACCGTTGCTGGAGTGGAGAAGAGGGCTTCAGGGAGCACTGTCACAGCCGGCTGGCTTGGAGGATCAGGTGGATTTAATTGTATTTTGCTTCCCTAGACCATAATGAGCGGATAACTCTTGCAGATTCTTTGTTTTGGTGACCGGATTAGTCAATAACTCACTTTTGTTCTCCCTCCTGTTTTTCAATTCATAAAAAAACCTCTATCTGCATACTGTGTGCAAGCTCAAGCACATCGCAATGCACTCAAACCCACTTCAGAACAGCTCCCTTCTGGGTGTTACCAGCCAAAAACATTTTTAAAAACAGCCTGGGTCAGCAGAAAATAGCCACCGCTGGACTTTTCTCCTACGTACCCAATGGTACTTCAGAAAATCATTGTCCTGTACAGTAGGGGTAGGCAAACTCTAGCCCCCCAACTGTGGTGCAACTACAAATCCTATCATCTGTCTCTGGGAGGCATGCATGTGGCGGTGAGAATCTTGCAATGCCACATGGGATATGTAGTTCCACAACAGCTGGAGAGCCACAGTTTGCCCACCCCTGCTGTACAGGTACACTGATGCGGTTATAGATGCATGCAACCGCAGCCTGTCATTGATTTTAATAGGAGGCTGTGTGGAACACCTGTGTCTCCCTAGGCGCATAATGGGCCACTGCACAGGGCCCCACAAAGTTTTGCTATGGGGCCCTGTGATTTCTATTTACGCCCCTGCAACTATGATTCTATACAAAGCTCAGTGAAGGAATTATTTCAAAGATCCAGTTTACAAAACCTTTTCATCCTTATTATACTAATTGCTTATTATTTAATTTAAGGAGAAACCTGTGATAGGAATAGGACATACTACTGCTGACCTGCTTCTGAATATGTTCTGGCTTCGCTTGCTGCATACTTTTTAGATCTGCATCTACAAAGTACTGGAGGCAGAGACCACTAGGTAGTCAGTACTTTAAAGTGGCCGCGTCACCACAGGTGTGCCTGCCGCCCTCTCTCTAACCAGAGTGTCTCAGATTGCAATAAGCTCTTACAAAACCTGTGACGCTTTGTCCAGCGTCCCGCCCAGCTCACTGACTGGCATCCTGACCAGCTCCTAGCAACCAGTGACCTCAGTGAGCTGGTACGGACGCTCAGCAGAGCCGGAGCCAGGAGTTGCACCACCACCACCACTACCATGTCCCTGCTCCCCACCGGCCTCAGGCGGTGAAAAGTGTAGCGACACCCCTGGGCCGGGCAGAAGCAAAGCGGTCACTTTAAGTATCAGGTCAGCAATGACAGCCCTCGTGTTTCTTATGGAAAGTTTACATTGCACACTGAAATGTTTTTGCAGTTTCTAGAAAGCAAAAGCACCCCAACCAACATTACTAGTAAAATATGCCGTATGACGTGACATTCAGCCACTCACTGTAGCCCAACTTATTTCAAAATGATTTACTGAACGATGACAGAATGCTTGACTTCACATTCCTTGAATCGTATACAAAAACAACAATGTTTAGAAGATCCATTTTGATAGGTTCACCTAAATAATTTCATAAAAACAATGGTTTATATACTTGTATGCTGCTAAGCTAAGATTTAGTTCAACATTTTCCACATTTTTTCATTATGAATGGACACAAGATGTACATCTGCACACATGTTGTCTGTCTTCTACTTAAAAATGAGGAGACTCATTTTTATTCTGAAGTGGGGAACAAAAGTAGCCACCCTCCAGAAGGAAGGACAGTGTCAGCACCAATTCAGAGATGATTTGAGGATCTACAGCTGAGTGATACCCAAATAAGATACATTTTTGTTAATAGTTAAGGTACTTGGATGCAAATTTTAAGATTTAACTCCTGAGTATACTGTAATTTTAACCAGCGTCCCCGAAAATCATATGAAGCTGGGAGGTAAATAGGCCACCACCCATTTATCCAGAACTCATATGGGGTACTATACCTTTAGATTACATATACATTGGACTATAAACTCACTTAGTACATCTGAGAAAGAAAGTTATACTGAATATTATTAGGATTTATTACTTGCCTTTCTCATCACTCTCTAATATGTCCTGCAGTACTAAGAAGGAAGTTGACTGTCTGGGGGGTTCATTTGAATCCTGGTTCTCCTGCAGCATCTTGTATACCTCAGAGTCTTTGTCAATCTGCCGCGCTTGTGGAGGTAGAGGCCGGTCCACACTGAAGGAGATAATAGGACAAACCCATCTTTGATATCACGTCACATTAAAATTGAAAGCCAGCAGTAAATGACAGCAGTGTGGCATCAATAAAATTAGTGACAGCAAAAACACCACAATTCTTTTTTTTTCCATAACAATGAATTTATAAAACGTTTAATACCTTTTTCTCAAAATATACTTACCAGCAACAGGAAGGCAGAGAGCCATATATTTCTAAACTACTTTTTACGTGTTTTTCAATGAGTATTACTTCAAAGCGCATTTCCACTTTTGCAGCCAAATTGGAATAACACACATTTTATATCGGTTACATGGTCAGATCCCAGTGCAGATACTTGGCATTTTCACGAGAACTACCGGGGTTGCAGAAGTTGCAGCTGGGACCTGGCTCTGGCGCTCCACCACTGTCCTGAAATCATTAGTCTGTATTGTTTTAGAAAAACTGTCACATGACAATAAACAAAAATGTATCGGTACTTGTATCTGTGAGTACTCGGCAAGTACCAGTACTCGTACCTGCAACAATGGTGTTGGTGCATCCCTTTATATATGTTCATAAAAACTAAATCATACATTAAAACAGGGCTGTACATATCCCAGGAGCTCCGTATGCTCCTTACAAATGACAGCTGCCTCCTAACTTTTTAATTTTTCTCTAGTCTAGTCTTGGAGCTTGAAAAGTATCTGTACTTGTACCGAGTTCGGTACTTGGTATCGGTGCATCCCTAATACATGCTTTATTCTGAAAGAAAAGTTATTCTCTGTACTACGTTTTGCTCTAAAATACAAGGAGGGCTGGGCAGGTTAATATTAAAATAATTAACCCTGCCGGGCTCAGTTTTAGTTGTAAACTAGATTTGAGTGATGTCAATCCTAACAAAGGGTTAGTGATCTAGAAGCATTGCATATTAATGAGGGGAAGCGCAGTCAGTCCCTAGTCTTTCTTTGGGTACAGTCAAAGTTTCCCGTCCCTTGAAAAATGAGAGAGAAGCTTGGGAAGGACTGCTACACGGACACATCTAAAAGGTAAGAAATATTTTAAAAAATAATCTAGGTATGCTGTGTAAATAGGAACACATAACAGACATATAGAGGAAGTTTTCTCAAATTTGATTGAAAAACTGGAAATACACTTTAAAGTGAACACATGGTTTGCCCATGCAGGGTAAAGTAATTGGTTTACTTTAAAGCCCAATTGAACATTCAGTTTAAATCCACTAAATCCATTCCAGGTGCATCAAAACAAAAGTTGTTCAATGTCTTTCAGACTGAGTAGTAAAGTTGGTCCACTGCCTGCCATTGCTCTGTGCGGAAGCAGTGATCTCTCAGCAGATGTCTATAACACACCTCCCGCTAAGTCAGAGCCAGCGCTCACCAATCAGCCAGGAGTACGAGCACTGCCTTTTGCAGAGCTATAGGTCTGACTAATTTCTGGACCTCTGAACTGCATTCCCCACGAAGACCATTTTTATGCTGTGGCTACTTTAGAATGTAAAACATTGCACACCTTTTGTTTTCATGCACCTGGAATGTTTTTAGCAGAACAGGAAAGAAAATGTGACTTTACATTCATCATAAAACCTGTGAAATTGGGAAAATGAATATCCGACAAAATATGAATAAAATATGTTGTTTTTTATTGTATTCACTGCTGACGGCATATGGTGATAAAATAAAAAAGGTCCAACAATAAAAGATCAACGGAAACACAGGACATGAGAACTGAGCATACAGGGAGATATAAAATGTTTAAAGAGAACCAGTAAGTGTAGGAATAATGGAAGCCATCATTGCTGAATTGCTCTGGGGAGGTCATCTCTATCCTGACTTCATGCCTCTGTGAGTCTCTGACCCAGAAAAGACATGCAGGATGAAGGTTTAGACTGTATACTTTTTCCAGGTCACTAACGCACTATGTAATAAAGCCAGGATCAGGATCACTGGGGTTTTTTTTAAGTGCAACACTCCCTTTTTTTTCTTTCCCTTTTGCCATTTTCAAAAAACAGAAAGACTAGAGGATGTAGAACAAATCGATGGAAAAAAAATGCCTCTTCCATTGATGTCCACGAAATCTTAGGAAACATTATTGTAAAATGTGGATATCCTCAGACTCCACAACAGCAGCTTTTACCATAGGAGAGGGCTGGGAATAGGACATTTTGATCTCTTAGTATAATAATTCAATAAAATTGTCAAATAACCTGAACTTATTCACAGTTGTTATTGGAATGCTCAGCATTCTGTGTGCCTGCATTTCCCAAATACCAACAAGCAGACAGAAAAGGAAAAACAAAATCCCCACTTAGACATCTTTCTCCAAAACAAAATGATATCAAGCAAAATGTGAGGAGACTTTTTCTGGAGAGAACAATGGTAACATTTTAGATTATCCATCACTTTCTGTGTCGGTAACAATGGCCACTAGGACAAATAGAAAGTGAATGCTCCCACTGAAGATACAAACAGCAATAGAGACTTGACATGGGGTTGTAACTATTCCCCACTCTATCCAAACCTGAAAGAAGGTTTTGGTTAGAGATGCAATTTAAAGCTAAACTCCAGGAAACAAAAGAAAAAAGTGACCCTTGCAATGGGTCCCCCAAGGGTTAACTGCTTCTTTTTCCTAGGGAATGATAAATCAGGTAATCATAAAGGAGAACTATGGGGTCAGTGTTTTTCCCCATAGTTCTCCTTAGGGTAACGGGAGGACACAAACTAGCGTCCTCCCGTTACCCTAAGCTCAGTATACCGCGAGCTACAGCTCGCGGTATACTGAGACGCCGCAGCCGGAGCGGATCCCGACATCGATGTCCGTTCCGCCAGTCAGCGCTGGCGGATCGGAGCGGGGAGGGGGGAATCCAGCCCCTCCCCTGTCACGGCAGAGAGCAGTGACAGGATCGAGAGGGGAGCGAACACCGCTATCTGTTCGATCACCTCCCGATCTACTGAGCCGACCTGCGACAGTCTCATTGTCACAGGTCGGCTAGAACTATGAGGTGACTGGAAATCACTTATCTCATAGTACTCCATATTTAAGTTATTCCTCTCTTCCGCACACTTTCTCTGCATTGCTATACCGGTCCCCAAAGTCGATCCTTTTCGCTGCCCAGCTCTCAGACGTCTTCCTGTACAATGTAGGACCTGCAGTCAGTCATGTACTGTATGTGAAGACACTGAGGGCCCATCTACAACCCATGACCTCAAGCAGCACAGGAGAGTACTGACTGCTTGAGGGAGCGAGGAATAACATACTTATATTACCTTATCCGTCATCCCCTGTGTACAACAAGCAGTTAACTTTTGCAGTTCAAGGACGGACCTACTGCAAAAGGTGGCGTTCAGCTGTAATACGTTTAATGAATGTTTTGTAACTTCCCAGAACAATAAGTAGAACATAAAAGGATCTCAGCATGACCTAATGAAAAATGGTCCAAGTGTAAGGCCCTGTTCACACCTGTATGTTTTGTAGCATGTTCAACGCTCTACCAACGCTCTACAAAACGCTCAAACATGAAAGTCCCATTGTTTTCTATGGGTATGGTTCACACCTTGCCGTATTTCAGCCCGTCTGAACGCGCTACAAAATGGCCTACGCCCAAAGAAGTACATGTACTTCTTTGGGGCGTTTTGGTCTCGCGTTTCCATTGGGATACAGCCAAGTAGCCCTCGGAAACGCGATGTCGCGTGTTTTTTTTACCACGAATCGCGGTAAAAACACGCGACAAACGAACATATTCAATACGCCTAGGTGTGAACCCAGCCTAAGTGTTAAGTCTTAAAACTATACAGTATTCTCTAACTTCCACCAGTTAGCAAAATGATACAGATTTCACACACCTGGTAAATAGTAACAGTATGAATGCATTTGTGACTGATGCATTATGTAACTACAGTAAATTCCAGTGTATAAGCAGCATTGTTTGCGCATGGTGGGTGCAATGAGAACACAAGCATGCATGCATGCATGCATGAAGGTGAGATGCCAGGTGAGCAGCAAGCAGTGACTATCCAGGAAGCATGCACTGTGCCAGGTATGTGCGCACACAGGCAATGTTACCTGGTATAAGTTGGGTTAATGGAAGAGATCTGGCCCTGCAAAGTGTCCATAAGGTTTTCTTGGGAATAGAGCTGTAATGGGGAGTTAAACTGGTTGTGCATGACTTTAAGTCCAGGAATATCCACCTCCACTGGGCTGTTGGGACAGATCTGTGCGGCTTGTTTTAACTCTTCAGGGCCCACTCGCATTTGAGTTGGGATTGAAGAGGTGCTGTGCCTCCTTTGCAAGGAGCCAGGGGCGGTACATGACTGAAGAGGGTTATACACAGAAGACATGGGAGCCTTAAACATCGCAGAAGGAGAGATGGGACTAAAGCCCAGTTAAAAAGTCAAAGGCAGAGATAATAATTAAAGATCAGAAAAAAAAAAAGAAAGAAAATAGATAATTAATAAAAAATACTGTTGCATTGGGCAATTGCTTTTCTAAACTTACAATGAAAGCCTTGCAACATAAATAAGTATCAAAATCAAATCTTAGCATTAGATTAAGACTCATTAAAACTATCAAATATAAAGTGGCTACGTTAGAGTTAGTCTAATAATGCATTAACCCTAAAATAAATATTACTTATATACAGTAACTACATTATTACACTGGCTGGAATGTTTTTGTATCTGATGAATAATAGTTACGACATTGTGGGGCATAAGGCTCCCTGCTGCTGGCATTATGAACTAGAGCAGACTACATTAATGAGAAAGCACCTGATGGAGTCTGATGGTGATTTTAGTGGCTGGTAAGTCATGCTGAAAGCACGCTGAAATTTGACAGGTCTCTGGTAAATGAAAAAACATACTGTTAGTTTTCCCATCAGTCGATCTGTAGAAGGCATGTGGATGGAGAGAAAACATATGGTCAAAACAAGAAAGAACTAATATCATTTTATACTGATCACTTGGGATACCACACTCCAACACTAGAGGCCCAGGTGCCGTTTGAAAGCAGCGCTAGAATAGCAACGATTTGCCCCAGTGCCGTTTTAAAAGGGCACTAGGCACTCAAGTGGTTAAACACTAGAACACAAAATGTATGTATTGTTTACATGCTGGAAAGTACCCGAGCCGCTGTATTAAAGGGAACCTTGAAGGGTAGAAATATGGGAGCTGCCACAATGGTTTTTGAGGGTGCAAGCTCTGGGTCCATCATCCGTTTTCTGGTTTCATTCTTTAGTAAAATCACAGAATGACTAAGTACTGATGGAACAATTAGGAGGACAACCTCCTGGCTTGCACCTTTAAAACGTATCTAAACCCAATAATGAAAATGTAAATCGATCACAGCTTACTATTCATCCTTGGATGTAGTGGCTGCATTAGTTTTCATTTTTCAGGCCAAGAACATTTTCAGCAAGTACAGAAAATACCTGCTGATCTTGCCAGAAATGCCGTGTCCTTGTCACTTCCTGTGAGCTGAAAAGAGAGCATAAACAAATGTATCTTTCTTGTGTAAACTAATAACCCATCAGACCACCATGTATTGGAAAAGAGCAAAATGTACATGCTCCCTCACATGGTTTCAATAATCAGTAAATGGTGATCTTGCCAATATTTAATACTTGTGCGGGCAAAGATGAAGATGGCACAAATATGTATACATCACTGGGTTCCCAACTGGAGCAGACATGACTCAGAAAACAGGCAGATACAGTCACTACATGTTCACAGGGCAGCAACCATCCTGCATGATAAGAACACATTAAAATCATCATCAACATAATGTGCCAGATAATTGATACTTACTCTTTGTTTGGCACTTGAGCACCATTGGTTGATTGGGACTCCAATGTGCTATTGAAGCTTTGGATGTTTTCAGAAGAATAGAGGCCGGCTGGGTTGTTGTACAGGGCAGTGATCACTTTGGGGGTGCTGGAAGCGGAGGCAGTATTGAATGGCAGAGCACTTCGATTGTGTGTGCTTCCTATTTGTTTTACTTCCTGCATGCAAGGGGACCAGAAGGAAAATCAGAGGTGACTAACATGCATGCGTGAAGTGACAATACAGCCAAAACTCATGCAATACAGAATATAATCAGCTTGTAGTGGCAGCAAGTCATTGAAAATGTGAACAAAAGGAGAGCAGCGCAGAGTAACTCATATTTAAAAGCGCAACTCCAGCCAAAACGCAATTTTTTTTAGATAGAGCCACTGTCAGGTTTTATTTGGTGTGGGGAGCTTTGCCCTATAATCCCTTTTAATCTTCCCAAATGGAACTCAAAAACACATTTTAGTAGAGTGGGGAAGGAATAGAACTAGAACAATGATTTATTTATCTATGTGTCTTCCATCATCTCCTGACCAGGCATCAAAAGGAACAGGAAGTAAGGAAGAATCTCCCCATTGAAATGTCAAATTAGAAAAATAGTAGAGATGTTAAGTTTAAAACAACTCTCAGAACTAAAAAAAACAAACCTAAAAAAAAAAAAAAGAAGGACTGGATTTAGGCTGGGTTCACACCTAGGCGTATCGAACATGCGCGTTTGTCGCGCGTTTTTGCAGCGATTCGCATGGCAAATACGCCCCAAAAGAAGCTCCTGTACTTCTTTGGGCGTAGGGCGTTTTACAGAGCGTAGGGACGTTCCTACGCGCTGTAAAACGCCCAGGTGGGAACCATGCCCATGGGCAATCATTGGTTTTCACATGTTGAGCGCTTTACAGAGCGTAGGAACGCGCTGTAAAACGCCCAGGTGTGAATCAGGCCTTAGGCTGGGTGCACACCTAGGCATATCGAATATGCGCGTTTGTCGCGTGTTTCGTGGAACGCGTTTCCGAGGGATACGCTCGACAAAAACGCCCCAAAGAAGCTCCTGTACTTTTTTTGGGCGTAGGCCGTTTTGTAGCGCGTTCAGACGGGCTGAAATAAGATATATTACACACACACACACTATTTTTTTTATGATGTGCTAATCATTGATATAAATATTCAACAGACCTATATCTGCTGGTCCAAATAGTGTTTCCAACGATGTTTATTTATAAACATTTGCACCTATTTATATTATCATACAAGATATTTTTCATAACTTTCATCATGTAATGTACATAAAGTTTACACTAGGGATGCACCGATATATCGGCCGCTGAAACATATCGGCCGAAAGTGCCATTTTCTGGCCGATACAGCGGTGCATTCGTGATTCCTTTCCCCCCCGCTGGGCTCTGCTCTGTGTCCCAGTGGGTAGGAGAGAAACTGACAGCCGGCCGAGCGCTGCGGGAGGAGAGCACTGTGAGCGGCCTGCGTCTCGCCTGTCACAGATCAGAGGAGAGCGGTGTGGGCGGAGACAGCCCACGCTGTCACAAGAGGCTGAGCTCTCCTCCCGGCCTACCCAGCCTCCTGTGACAGCGTGTCAGGATGGAGAGCGAGTACAAACACTCAGCGATCAGTGATCGCTGAGTGTTTGTACATAATTGAGGACATAGTACTGTTACTATATCCTCAATTATGAATGAATGGGAAGTGCTCTACATCACCTCCTGATCATTCATGATTGTGATTATAGTAAACATACTATATTCTCATGTTATGAATGAACAGGAACACTCAGTATAGACCAGTGGTTCTCAACCTATGTAACCTCAGGACCCACATTTGTCCTTGGCCATTAAGTCGCAACCCAATTGCACTGCAATGGAACGCACGGCATTAGGGTACTGCACGTTCTGGTGCGGCCGTATGCATTGTGGGTGGGAGGTGCATTTGGAGTACAATTCAAATGAATAGCAACGCAACACACCTCCCACACCAGAATGCACGGTAGTTGTTACTGTGTGGTACAGTTTGACGCACTGTACTAGTATGAACTGGCCCTCAAGAACACTGACAAACATACAAATGCAGACACATTCTCATGCACACTTTTCTTTTTTTTTTTAGGTCCACCCAGTCTCCCTACCTTACGAGAACTGGAGTGGGTCATCAGCCTGGGGTCCAGTGTGGGCTGCTGTGCTGTGATGGAGCTCCATCCATATGTGCATCGCTTGTACAGCTCCTTTGCACACCCTGTAGAGGTGTTGAGAGTCAGAATATTACATCACTCCGGTCCAGGCACCTCTATAGGACACGCTAGGGAGCTGTAAGCAATGCAAGTATGGACGGAGCTCCCTCACCGCCATTGCCCTAGCCTGCCCCACCTAAAGCTGACACCCAGCACTCGGCAGCATATTTTGAATGGCTGCTTGGTGCGAGAACTGACAGTGCTGTGCCAGGGGGAGGCTGTGGAGTCTCTCACCTAGAAAAGTGGAAGGCATGCGGCGACCCACTTAACACGGGGTCGAGACCCACTTTTGGGTCACGACCCACCAGTTGAGAACCAAGGGTTCATTTATAACAGAGGCTGCAGAAAAAGAGATTAAGGACTCTGTGTTCTCAATCTCTTTTTCTATTTTAAAAGAGAAATATCAGGGGTCTGTTTAGACCCCTAATATTTCCACGTAGCCCCTGAAAGTAAACTAAAAAAATAAAAATATTTTTAAAAAAGTAAATAAAAATAAATAATTTTTTAAAAAAAGTGAAAAAAGTTCAAATAAAAACATTTTCGGTTTCGGCCTGACTTTATTTTGGTTTCATTTCGGTTTTGAAATTTGCATTTTGGTGCACCTTTAGTATATACATGACGTTAGGCTGGGTAGTGTGAAAAATAAACACTACTAACATGTCTCTAAGTTAACATAATATTTTTGGTTCAGTGGTTTAACATCTTTTCTCGCTTTTTAAAAAATATTAATTTTACTTTATTTCATAGCCAACTCTATAAATACGCAATACATTACAAAAGAAAATTGGTCAGTCAAAAGCAGTGTAAATGTATGACATGAGAAGTGATAAACTGAGATCAAGGATCAAATCTGTTATGTACAATGAATGTATTGTCTTTTTTGTGTGTGACAACAATACTAGCTGTCTGTGGACTAGACAGAAGCAAAGAGATGTGTTGTTTTATGCCCACACACTGCCTAAATAACTGAATAGATTAGCTCAGTCCAAACAGAGAACATTTATATAGTTTGTTATGACCGGCCTGTTATTCTGGATCTATTAAAAATGTACTCTCCGTTTATTAAGCTAGTAGGCTTTTATGCAGACCCCGAAAATCAAAATAATCTGCCTTTGTTTAAAGAGACCCTGTCACCAGACCATTTATTTCAACAATTTTCTCATAAGATTACATGTGCATTTAATATATATTATATGCATGTTAATTTATACGTGTAGACATCCAAAAGCCCTGAGACTGCTGCTGGATGTGATGCTGGACCTCTTGGATGTGATGTCAGCAGCCCCAGCAGACTCCTAGCTGCAGCTACATAAATGCTTATGAAGGTAGGTGAGGAGAGGAGCTGGGCCATCGCAGTCAGTAATTCGAAATTCCCAGATAAGGATAGGGCTATGATGTATAAGCAAGGAAAGGACTGTGCTAGGGAATGGACTCTTGCTGGAGTAGTCAAATGTTCTAGCAAGTTCAAAGGAACATTTCAAGGTGAATAACAAATAATTTGTGGAAAGGGAAGTAAGCATTTACAATACTTGATTTTTCTGTGTTCTTATCTTTTTTGTTGGTGTCAGGGTCTCTTTAACAAAGGTGATGCCTGCTGTGTCTGTGCTTACCCACCATGTGGCTTGCCTTGGCATATGACAGCCCTTGGAGGTAATACTCCTCTCAAATGTCACAAAAAGAGTAGGCAACCCTGGCCCTCCACTTGTGGTGAAACAACAAGCGTTTGCTTCCAGGAGTCATGTCTGCGATTGTCAGTCTTGCAATGCCTCATGTGACTTGTAGTTCCATCACAGTTGGAGTGCGGTGGTTGCCTACCCCTGTCATACATGCTAGTATTTTTCATGATGACGTGGCCTTTGTGTGTCACTGGGGGGACAGCCTGTTATTTCATATTAAATTGTTACATTAAAATTCATCCAGGACTTCTAATGTATGAAAATGTGTTTATAGACGCTCCACTCACGTTAGTACTTGTAGCCCAGGCCCAGTAGTGAAAATGTTCATCTGATTTCTGCACAGGGCACTGAACCCTCTGACATTCCAGAGCAATGAGGTTACAGCGGCTCCAGCACATGAAACAATAGTCCTGTTATATCTTGTGTGTGTTATTTCATTCTTATCACACCTAGTGCGGAATGACACACCCTGCAGATTACATCATGTCTCTATGGAAGCAGATCAACACCACACTGCAATCGCTGACCTCATCCCATCCGCCAAATCACAACTGCCTTCTCTCCGGATATCATCTGCTCCTCCTCCATTTCACTTCTTTTTTTTTTCATGGAATCGTTTTAATGCAGTAATTATTATTTCAGAGACAGGCCTGCAATTGTTCACACCATGTTCCGATCATGTCCAGACCAGAACAGTTTGTTCCCGGACCAAAAAAGCATCCCAATGTAACCCTATGGCATTTCTGAGATCTGCACACCAGCGCAGGCTGTTCCGGACCAGACCAAAAAAAATACTGCTCGTCCCATTTTCTCTGGTCTGGAATGCACTGGAACGCATGGAAACACATAAAAAATGTGCAGCAGGAATCCCTGGTGTGTCCATACAGTTGCAGCCGCAGGGCACTCCACGTCGGCACGAGCGCAATATCATTACAACTACCCCGGCTGTACAGTAATAGCCTCCGTTTGTAAGTAGGAGTCGTATGTAAGTCGGATGTTTGTAACTCGGGGACTGCCCGTACACTGATCGTGGTTGCAATACTTTAATGGCTCTAATGCAAACAATATTAATAAAAGCAAATGTTTTCATTTATGGAGAAGTGCGCATTTATTATTTTTATTCAAAAAGGTGGAATCTCCCTTTACAAGGGCACAGTAGGGGTATAGGGGAGGAAGGGCAACATAATTCACCCAACATGTAAAGCACTATTCTTATATTTTTTGATAAATAGAATATTGCTGTATCATTTCTAAATCATAATTTTCTGTCCAAATGATAAACAGAACATTTGTGTAGAGTCACAGTGCAAAAAAAGATTTCCCATATGGCCTTAGATGCCTTCATTAGTAACAAATATCTATCCTAAAATGGCCGAGAACGATTACATGTGAGTGAAGAATGTTCAGACTTGGAAGGGGTTATGTAAATATCTGCTGATATGTTTTCCCCAAAACACCAACTGGATTAGGTCAGTAGAGAGAAACAATCTATTTTCTCCCATGCAGCAACAGACAGTTACAGCTGTACTTATGCCATATAGCAGCCTACACTGTTCTATGGAAACGCAACATCAGGGGTGGGCAACCATAGCACACCACCTGTGGTGAAACTACAAACCCCATCATGTGGGACTCATGTCTGTGGCTTGCAATGCCTTATGGAACTTTTAGTTCCAAAACAGCTGAACAGCTGAGGTGCCTACCCCTGTGCTACATTATTTCTACATTAAACCAAGATGATTACAAAATATAATGTCTGCTTGGACTTCATGTTCCAAGGCATCCATGAAAGCCATCAATAAGACCCATTTTTTTAAAAAGTGGTTATGTCTATTAACCAGTGGATTGCGACTGATGCCCAATTATAACCCCTGCATACAATAGTTTCCAATAGCACCAAGGGAGGTGTTGTTACAATTAGAACTTCAGAGGTAAATATAATATATTATATCTATATATAGATAGATAGATAGATAGATAGATATATTAGTGATGTCCCGATACTAGTATTATCAGGAGTACTCCTGAAAATGTCCCGATACTAAAGGCCGATACTGGCTGCTGAGATTTGCGCGCAGCCCTGTATATTTGCTGTATAATCATGGATTGATGGAATCTGTAGTTCACTATAGCCAGTTGCCATTCTCCATTGCTGTATAATTGCTATTGCCCTCTATATACTGAGAGCGCTGCAGCCGGGACGGATCCCGCCAATACTGTCGAGATCCACCCAGCTGGCTTATTGACAGCTGGCTCTGCCTATCTAGAGGCAGAACCAGATGTGCCCGCCCCCTCCCCTGTCCATTCCTCCAGTCATCGCTGGAGGATCGGAGAGGGAGAATCTCTGACAGTCACCGCTCTCTCCAGGGAGATGATCGGGAAGTGAGCGCGCAACGGTATATGTTTGCTCACTTCCCGATCAATAGAGCCAACGTGTGACAATTTAAATGTCACACGTCGGCTCTAACTATGAGGATGAGTGGAAATAGCTTTCTTTTTTATGAACTAAGCACAGATTGCATTTGAATTACCCATATAAATTAAACCTAACCTTTCTTTAACAAAAAAAAGTTTTTTTGGGGCCCCATGCCTCTAACAATCATACACAAGTGGACTTAACTTGATTTAACAGAGCTTTAAAGATCTCAAAACAGGATGTGCAGACATACATTTGTGTGTCTACATACGCCCCCCAAACCAATAAATTATTGTAAAATTATGTTTACAGATCTTGGCGACTCCGTCATTAGAATATACAGAAAAAGTCTGTTTAGACTGTAGCTGTTGATTTATAAATAAAGAAATAGAAGCAAAAAATAGCAGCTAGAAAGTATGGCCATGCTCTGCAGTTTAGCTGATATCTGAAGTCTTTAGTCTGGCTCATATTATTATTCTCCTTTACTTAGTTATTGGAAAATAAATCCAATGATTCCTTTCCCCTTAGCGAAGCCCGCAACAGAGGTGTCTGGCCTCATTCCTGATCCAAGTTTTCTCAGTGTGAATACTCATTTGCTTGGAAAGCGCATGCTCACGCTACTTCTGCAAACCAAACACAAGAGGGACTCCCAGCATGCAATATAGACTATGGCTATGAATGGCCACATGCACCTCAGGGTCAAAGCTCACGCCATGGCATTTTATACTTCAAGAGATTGGGTGACTTACACCATTGACAATGATGTACTAGAACTTTGCTTTGGCACAACCCATAAAACGATATGTCACTTTTTACATTTTGCAGGACAGGTGCTCTTTAGGACCGTGTATTTACTTAGGGGGACATATAAAAAACTTAATACAACATATCCTGTGGCTGTCGAACATGAACCTACGATAAGCATAATTCAAGAACAAACTATGGCAAGTTTAGTTCTGTAGCTGGACACAGCATACGTTGCTGTGCTGCTTAGAACCCCTATAACAAAACGCATCCGTCATTCTATCAACAAATAATACAATACGAGAATAAATAGCATCAGTTACCTGAGCATTAGAGGCCAGATTCATTTTATATGGGTGTGCTTTGCCTTCTTCAGTTACCATGGGTGACCAAATCTTAGATTCAACCCTTAAGAAAAAAGATCACAGTGATAGTCAACAAAATGGTATTACACACATATGATTAAACAATACTTCCTTCCTATGAGCAGATGTTCTATGTATATACATGAAGACAGGCTCTGGACTGGTCATATACACTACCAAGGTTTGGCTAAGACTGGTGTTACATGAAGGAGTCCTTTTAATATGAAACTATAATAGTTTTAGTCAATTTTGGAATTTGTATAGTATTTATTTTATATACACCTATTACAGGGCGCATTTATGATAGCCTGCAATGCATACTGGGCTTTCTAGTAGGAAAGCCCAGCAGTGGCCTAATGCTTGTAGGCAGCCTTAATAATTTGGCAGATTAGGAGGTTCCCATCTCTGCTAGGCTAGAAGGGAGGATGCTCCTCCTATAATTCATTCAGGTTCATTGTTTAAATATAACTATGGTTATCTGGGGGTTCAAGGAGCTCTTGTTTTTGCACAGCGCTTGCAATCTGATAGCGGTACTCACATATTTCTTTTAAACGCTATGGAAAGTATACAGTGTTTAATTAGTATGTAAATACTAAGGCCTGTTTCACACCTGGGCGTTTTACAGCGGTGATCGGCGCGCTGTAAAACACTCAGCATGTGAAAACCAATAAATTGCCTATGGGCAGGGCTTGAAAAATTTGGCGGTGTCTCACCAGTCAGTCAAAAATGTCACCAGTCAGCATGACCGGACTATAGCCTTGCAATATATGTTAAAATTTTTTAGGGACAGAGAGAGCTTTCTTTTGTGACCCCACGGGGGGGTTATTTTTTTTTTTTTTACTATATAATGAAAAAAGTACCATAAATATATTTAAAATGATACAGCCTGATAGCCCTCGTAAATGGGCGTTTGTCGCGTGTTTCTTTTACCGCAAATCGCGGTGCAAACGCGCATATTCCGTACACCCAGGTGTGAACCCAGCCTTACAGTGAACTTCTCTTATTATGTCCGTTAAATATACATTTGAAAGTATTTTATTACATCGGTTTGATACATTCAAAACAATATGTGTTGATCCTGCTAGAAATCTTGAGTTGTTAACTTCCTGTGCCCTGTGTCTATGCTGACTGTAATAATAACATGGTTTCTGTTATCTCTGAAGACCACAGAACCATGCACTGTGAAGTATGGTGGATCAAAGGGCAGCATTATGGAGACTGAAAACTACCTTTAAAATATTAACATGTTACAGCCCATAAAATTTTACTTTCTTGGTTCACATTTACTTTAATGTAGCCATTGAAAAGACTGGAAAGAGGTAAAATTCCTTAACCCTTAGCAACAACAGTATACACGTGGGTATGATAGCAATGTGTTAGGTGTGACGCAATTGCTTGAGGACTGTTGAGCAGGTGTTCAGGATTAGGCCTGAAGAATAAATGTAGAGTAAACAACAATTTTATAAATTCAGGAAAAAGTATTAGCACCCTTAACTGAACCATGCATGGAAATATGAGAGACTCCTAAGTCAGAAAGGTTATACTTTGGTAGATCTGCTTGGTTGAGGTTTCATTGAATAATCTTGTACTACAGGAAACCCAGGTAGAGTATTTTTCAATTAGACACAGGTACCTTATCATACACAGTTTCAGTGTGTACCTATCCAATATGATTCCATACTTAAATGCACTAAACTTAATAAAAGCTCCAGTAAAAGGTGTTCTTAAGGGCCAGCAGAGATAGATGGACCAATGCCAGGAGACAAGTACCCAATGCACCTAATACTGTTAGGCTAGTCATTGGAACCACCACTCATCTTGCTTCGGACAACACAGCAAACACCCACACTAAACTAAAGTCCCCTTGAATTGTGCACAATTTTCCTATAGTGATATAAGGTAGGAAGGCTTTTGGAGAGGGAGTCTACAGCCACTTGCCAGTCACGATGTTGTGTAACCTCCTTTTCTTAGATCTACAGTGGAATGGATGAAATCATAGAAAATGCCTCAAATTATTCATATTAAGCACCGAATAAAGATCAGGACGATCATTTCTCAGCAGAACAGCTTCAGCCCATCTGGCAATGCTTAAATAAACCCATGCACTGTGCCTAGGAGTGGTTTGCATTACTGCTTAATTGAATTGAAATCTGTATCGTGCTCTGCAATCCAGAATTTCCCATAACGATTATGCTTAGATCTGGTAAATGAGGTGGTCCCATAAAAGATATACTTAGATCTGGTAAATGAGGAAATATGGAAGGTTTCTGACTTTGAGTGGTTTTAATGAAAGCACGCCTCATCATCACTGTTCCTGAATTTGGCATCTTCATTAGGACCAGTATTTAGAATGTAGTATGTACCCAGCCCAGTAAAACTGCTCCAATTTCCTTGGTCATATAGGAACTATGCAGAGTAATCAAACTAATGACTCCCAAAAGATGGCTGCCTGTGCCATTATGCATGATAGGACGTGTAGTCTTCAAACATGAAGATTAAATCGCATCAAGTAGCAGGTAAAGAGAGACACAAAGCACACTGGGAATCCAGGAAGTTGTTGAAAGTGATGGGCAGACAGATGACAGTACTCACTACATAAAAGGGATATTTTTAAGCTTTGATTGTATCATCAAAAACAACACTAGTATGTATTCCTATTACAATGCTCATGTTATAACAGGAGAGGATATGCTGGGGCTTTACAATTCCTTTAACACCTTTTATTATGCACACTATTGTGTTTCTGTATGTTATGTATACCCATTAAAGAAATCAAGATCTGCTCCCATATCACAAATGTATCACTAATTGGCTTCTACACTGGATATTATTATAACATAAGGAAATTATCACAATCTATTTAACCTCTTAGTGACCAGTGACGTCCATAATACGTCACTGAAACCGTGTCTGTTTAAACCGATTTCTGGCGGCTAAAGACGCTAGGACTCTGGTTACAATTGTAAAGCTTACTGTCGGCTTTACAATAGAAGCGATCAGGTGACTCAGCTATCGCCCGATCTCTTCTCCAGGCCGGTAAACGGGCCGCACACCCCATAACACCACCACCGTGTTTCCCGGGCTGCGCTGCCCCTCCAACGGGCCTCCTATGGATGCAGATTACATCACTTCCGGTCCCATAGCTGTCAGTGCTGGGCTCCTGAAGCCCAGCAATAAGCTATTGAAGTGCGATCGGCACTTCAAAAGCTTATTTCAAGTGTAAAGGTGATGCTCCCCCAGCATTACCTTAAAGAGTACCTGTCACTGCCAATATGCTATCACATGGGGGGCTTGTAAGCCCCCCTATGTGATAGCAATTAAAAGTTAAAAAAACAAAATAACAGTTTTTAAACTTAAAATTAAATGAAATAAATGTAAAAATAATTAAAAACATTTTTTTTAAAGTCCCCCGCGAGCACGTGCGTCTTCACATAAACACATGTGGGGTGTGCCTACGTATGAAAACGACAGGGTTAAACACTTATTTCCAAAATAGCCACCGAATTATATATTTGAACATTTATTACTTACTGGCCCATGTACAGTAATACAAATATTTTCCCATGTCTGCTACATTTGACTTGACTTTTTTGAACAAAAATAGCTAAATGATACAATATTTCCATTACACCATGATGTAACTTACACTGATTACTCTGCAGTATCATAAGCGACCAGAAGGGCAAAAGGTAAAAAAAAAAAAAAATCCTTAGTGACTCAAGAGTTTGCCAAATATGGAGACCTGACCAACATGGTACATCTGTGTTGCCTGGAACATGATGGCATCTTTGGGGGTCGGTAACTGCTGAAAGTATTAGTTATATGAGATGATGCCAAGATTGAAGAGATTCTCCACTTGAACTGAAAGTAGATTTCTCAGTATAAAGCCGATCATGCATTTATAGATTTCTTTATTTCAGCTGGATGGACTAAGCTAAACTGCTGGGCTATTGTATTCTGACAAATTGCACCCGTACCTCTCAGAAAACCCAGTCACTGCAGGTTATTGGCAGCAGTCACTGTTCAAGTGAAAATTTTCCACCGGGCACCTTTCACAAAAGTCGATGAAACAATGGACTTTTTGAACTATACATGTTCTGTTGTTTTATTCAAACTTCCATATACGTTATTTGTATCATTGTAATATACATACACTTATTGCATCTTTTTTGAAAAGAAAATTAAAAACAATAATCCATTGAAAATAAACAATGGATTTTTTTTTTGAGCCTGGGAAGAGGCGGCAGGGCCACCTACATATTATATTTTCCCCAATTCATGATCAGACTTAAAATTCAGCAGTGTCTGGCCAGTTTCACTTGCCTTGTACCCTCTTGTTAGTGAGATCCTTATAATTAGCAGACAAGTAAACCACTCTTATGTAAGCTGCTCAAGCATAGAAGCATACATCTTTATGTCTATTAAGCAGTAACATATCTCAGGAATACACAATAGCACCAAGCCACAATTATCCAACACAGCAGACTACTATTTCCCCCCTGAGACCAGTGAACTGGAATTATCTGGTGAGCTCATGCAGTAGTCATAGATCAAGTGTTCTCATGTCTCCGCTCTCTTGGTCTCATCGTCGGATCCCTTTTAGACACGGATATCACAAAATATGATCCAACATATTCAGTGAAAAATTGTGAAATACTGAGAGAATGCCGACATGACAAATGACAGGATGCTTTGGAATGTGGAACAAAATAAACTTATTTATAACCAAAATCTTCAGCCAAGTAATAAACAGACACTTCCCAAGACCCTGTGAGGAAAAAAAAGCTTTCCTCTCTGCCAATGAGAAAAAACAAATCTATCCACCTAATAGCAGGGAAAACGTTTGATGCTGTACTCTAGAAGACTGTAGTGGCTGTGCATTAGACACAATGTCATCCTATAGAGAACAGCCCTCCCATATCACATGGCTGGTTTGTCTTTTTCTGATAGACAGACAAATAGAGATTCATTGAAATCACTAAGTTTCTTTCTTTCTTTCTTTATAAGTCAATGTCTGCAGGCATCAGTAAAGCAGGGTGGAGC